GTTTTAATTTGAAAATGTGCGGGTGTAAGTGGAAAATCCTGCAGATCATATTATATTATTTAAGAAAAGTTATCCGGTAATAAATAAGACTGTATTTGCGAAATACGGTTAGCAACAAAGGTGTTGAACGTATGCGGTGAAGAACACGCCCAACAGAGCGCGACTTCCGAATCTGAAAACGCATAAATGTTGTCGATCGGATGCTTCAATGACAACGAATTGTAAACGGTGCGTACTAACTTAGCGAGCAAAACCAAGGCACACAACTCAAGCCTGGCTAAAGTTATAACCTTTAAGGGGAAATATAACCTCAAATGGCTTAGCAAGATCCTCCGTTATGCCGAAAGTATTGCAGCATTAATTTTGAAATAAATATATGGTAAAGTTGAGAATTAATGTTAAAGTTTATGTTAGACGAAAACACGGTTCCGTAAAATTACAAGCGAGCGGTTGCGGAGAGGATAGCGCGTTTGGTACAAGTGACCGGTGGCGGCGAAACAAGAAAGGAAGACTTATCGGTAGCGGGATACCAACGAAGGCCTAAATTTTTTAAAATGTCATTATCATCAAATGATACAGAGTCTTATTGACGATGTAATGCTGGTATATGTTGTAAAAGCTCCTTGCAGTTACTTGTCCACTTAACCATATCGAATCCACCTCGGCGAAACATTTGGATTAGTTGAGTGGCGATGTTGACTGCGTTATTGACGCAAGGCGCGGAGGAAACGAGGTCATCCATATAAGTATCCCTTTCTAATACAGAAGCAGCAAGGGGATATGACTCCCTTTCGTCAGCGGCTAACTGGCGTAAAGTGCGAAGTGCGAGGAAAGGGGAAGAGCGTAATCCGAATGTGACGCTATTGAATTTATACGTTCGTATAGCTTCTTCTGTAGAAAACCGATATAAAATGCGTTGAAAAGCGCGATGGGATTTTTGGACTTCTATACACAAGTACATTTGCCTAACATCCGCAAAGAAGGCGATGCGATATACTCTAACGTTTAATAAAATATTAAAAATATCTGTAAATTTTTTCCCGTGTGCAAAATGTCATTCAAAGAAATATCGTTATCCGACTTAGCACTAGCGTCTAAAACGATCCGCAACTTCGTTGTACTTTTATCATTCCGTACGACAGGGTGATGTGGCAAATAAAAACAAGGCTGAATACAATCATTATCAGAAACAGCGGATAAAATACCCTTATTAATGTACTCCCAAATAACAACATTGTATTGATCGCGAAGATCGGGATATTTGTTAAAGCGTTTTACTAAGAGTAAGAGGCGTTGTTTTGCGTTCATTAAAGAGTCACCCAATATGTCGGGCCTTTTCTTAAATGGCAAGGCGACCACATACCGTTCGTCGTTTTGGCGGTAAGTAGTAGAAGTATAAATGTCTTCACATTCCTGCTCATCACGACTCAAATATATTTTTTGCGGAGTTCTTCAATTTTCCAAAATTATCCATTATGTCATTAAGACAATTTTGATTTAAATTTATGTCGTAAGAACAGCAAACAAAGGAACGCGGGGAATGATGTGATATAGCGACTTCAGCATCACCCATAATAATATATCAGAGTGATGTTTCTATGGCACTACGCCATTGCGATTGAATTAAGTTTTCAGGCGACAAAAGTTTTATATAGGTATTAACCCCCAATAAAATATCTATAAACCCAGGTTGATAAAACTGATCATTTGCTAAACGTATTTTATCTAAATAGCGAATTTTTGAAACATCTACTAACGAATCTGGCAACTGACCCGTGATGGTCGGAACAACTAATGGTTTAATATGATAATATTTGTTATCATTAAAACGAGACGAGCAGTGAAGTGACACCTAAAATCTTTTGGGACACACCACCGATCCCGTGTACTTCGGTAAAATGATTTTTATTCGAAACGGAAAGAAATAAGCGTTTACATTTCTTCGTAATATAGTCACTTTGGGATCCGGGGTCAACCGGGGTCAATTAATACAACAATTGTTTTGTTTTATAATATCGTAAGGTTGTTGTATATTTAATTTTAAAAAGCCTGGACAAACATACAAGTGTTCTTGATCATTTGATTTACAAAAGATACATGAATGCGAAGGATCTGTATTAATAAATGTTTAACTAATTTTATTTGAAAGTGATTTTTTTCGATTATTATTGGTTGTAGACAAAGTATGCGAATTATTAAATGTATGACATATAGCCCTATTCTGTTCGTATAAAAATTGTACTAAAGAGGCGTAGTTTGGTATGCTAATTGTGCGACAAGACATTTCAAATGACTTAACAGTGTAATGATCTAATTTTCTAAGTGCAATATTTAAAAACAAAAAATCAGCTAAGTCCTCAATGTTCAATTGCTTTAGAGCATTAATTGAAGCATCAAATTTGTCCATAAATTTGTGATAACCACCCGTTGTGTTTGCGTTCACCTGTATTAAATCCAATAGTTGGTTAATATAAGTAGATACTCGCATCTACGTACGTATATTAACCAACTATTGCGTTCGTCATTATATCTTCTTATAAGCGCATTCCAAATAATGGAATAATTTTCTTCGGTAGGGACTAACCCGGCACAAACTGATAACGCCCTGACACTTAATTTGTTGACCAAATAATGAACACGTTCGGCATCAGTTAATCTCTTAAATTGTTGATAAAACGTGGACCACTGGCGTATGTCTCCGTTAAATGACATTAATTCAATTGGCTGAAGTGAATTTTTTAATTTAGTAGGAAATCTATTTTCTAACGTGACAGTGGAAGGCGATGCGGATAGTCTCGTAACTTGGCACTTAATACGACTATATAAATCTTCAAATTAGTTCCAAGCCTCATAATCAACGTCTGCATTAGGGTTTAATTTAAAATTTTTAGTATTATAGTTATCTAGAACATATTGCAATTCACTGCGTAATTGTTCTATATTCGTAGCGATACTAAGTAATAAATTCTGCTCGTCCAAAGAATTAAATGCGCCCTTAGGGGTCTCGTAATTTTTTTGTAATCGTTCGTAAATATAATTACGTTTAGCGATAATAATTTTTAAACTAACTTCTTCATCCGAAACCAGTTTAGATTCTTTGCTTCTCGTCGTCATTGTCAACTAACAAATGCGGACTAAAATTATTGCGATAAGTGACGGTAGAATTAGCTAACTGAAGAACGAAGTAATCTCGCGTTACTAGAGAAAGATGGCGGTTAATCAACAAGAAAAATATCATTAATGGAATAATGAAGTGGTGTGGTATGTGTTACAAAGGTAATATTTAAAATATACGTGTAATAAGCGATGCGGGACAAATATGAATTGTAGTTAGTGTAATTAGAACCACAATTTATTATAATTTAATAATATTAACGTATATAATTTTTTGTAATATATAAAAAAATGAATTTACTTCTCCGGGCCGAAAGGTTAATTTAATCCCGGCCGAAGTGACCAAAAATTTGTGGTTTGGCGTTTTGGTTTTTAACCACCAAACTGCTGGTTCAAATGTATTAAATAATTTTATGCGATGCGGCTATTAAATTAAATAGAGTAGTGGACTGTATATTAGCGCGGTGCGAGCGGTGAATGGAATTTAATTTATTCGTGATACTGCAAATGCCCCTAAATTCGGGATATAGGAAGGACGTGAAGGAATGCATGTGCACCCACCTGGACTTCCGCTGATCTGCCTCGTGTCTCGATGGCTGCCGGCTTTCTTCACACTTATCGACTTCACGGATAATCTTCACAGATAATCACGAAATATAGCGTTATTGTAAATGTCTACACTTTTTACTATATGCTCGTATAATTCAATATCCAAATTACACAAGGGCGGGAGCGATGACGCGAGATATAAGCGATGCGGTTGGTTACGAGTCTTCTCAACTTGTGTGAGCCCGTTAACTAAAATGCACATTCTGGGCATAAAAAGGCGGTAGATAGGAAACCGAAAATGGGCTTTGCAGTAATCTTATTGGATAATAATTAACGAATCTCTTATAAGCGTTAGGCGATAGTGCAAAGTGGCGTGAACAGTGCTAACGAAATAACAATTGAATAAATCAGTATTATTTATAATTAATTATTACAATATTAATTTCGATAATTGTAGTAGTATGTAAGTATATGAAAAATGTAAAGAAATGGTCAAATTTAAAAATCCTACAAAAGCCGGATACCGTCTAATTTGGTCGGACACGCAGCCGAAAAGCCTGACCGTATCCGGCTTTATCCGGTCGTCTGGGAACGCTAGTCCCACAAATGGGCGCAGCGCACCTCTTAGGCCGGCCATTTCTGAGAGGGAGAGGCGCATGGCTAACCCCTCTACGCTCAAGCGCTAATCTAGTCAAGTGGTAAATAATAGTCTAGATAATATAGTCGATTTACAGGTTGTCATAAATTAAGTGATATAGTCAAAAGCTCTTACGGAAATTAAAAATAAAGATGTGCTTACTTACATACTTTAAAAGGATTATCAGAGCTTTGCAATGTTGCAAGTTAGGAAAGCAGGTACCTACGGCGTACTTTATAGAACAAAAATATATGTATAAACTAATAGTGATTGACGTGAGGAGTTAATGTTATTTTAATTGCAATGGGTGCCTTTGTTCATAATTAAGATGCGACCAGTTATTGCGGGCAACGAGTCGTTTTAATTGCGATTGCTGCCTTTGTTCGTTTGAGTTTTTAACACTATTTTAATTAAAATAATATGAACTAAACAATTTCATATGTGTAAATAGTAAATTTAAATTATCAGCCATTAACTAATGGAAAGCATATTATCCAATTTTTTTATTCAGTAAAAAAAATTATAGGAAATAGTGTGTGAATAACGAATCTAATCAAATTCCACCCGTATTAAAAAGTTTAAGCAATTAACGAATCAAACTAATTAAGTACAATACATTCAATTAATACGTCCTTGGCAATGATTTAGGAACTACCTGCATTTGCAGAGTTTTAACTATTGCTTAATCTACATCACTTACCTTAGACATAATCGTGAGTGTAAATTCGTCCTTTATAACGCCGTTCTTTCGCTCTGCCTTTCGGTGAAAGCTTAAAACAAACTGATTTGAAGCAAAAACAATCCTATCGGACACTATTATATGTAATACTTTATTGTATTACATTTTTTAAGACGCCGTTTCACGGCGAAGGCCCGATCAATACTGTGTAGTGGGTAATGGGTATATCGTTACCGGCGGATGAGGTAAAAAACAGCGTTTCGCTACGCGTGCGCGCGCAAACTGTTGTTGACTGAAGCGCATGTGTAAAGACAATCTATGATGCCCAGCCCCTGATTATAGTACCTACCGCTGAATGGCTACATGAGGTCACCGGCACCGAACAACACTAATTGAAATCTTAGGCAATAATTACATTGTATCAATCGCAAGCTATACATATAATTCAGAACTAGGTAGGTATAGCTATACTTTTCTGAAACTGAATGTATGTTACGAAGTAATTGCGGATTTCGAAACGAAGCGTTACTGATACATATTGCATGAAACGTCATTTCGCATCGGTGAACTACATATGTACGTCCATTCTACATAATTCGACGATTTCGACAGTCTCACCCGTACCGTATAGCATAGATTGTTTTAACTTTTAAATCACAGAATAGTAAAAAGATACCTTTTCACTTCACTGCAGCACTAGAAGCTTCGTAGTATATGATAATACGAACATATTAGAGCGGTGCCAAACCATAACGTTTTAAGTGCCACGCGAACTGAAATGCGTTTTATTGCAGTAAAACGTAGATAAATAAATATGTAGCAAGCTAGTAAAATTGTATGTGCCGGCGTTTACTCGCAGTAATGAGTTGAAGGGTTTCTAACACCATCTAACGTAAATATTGTGAAACAGCATGCCATAACGTTGTAAGTGCCAAATGAGCTGCAAACGTCAGTGCATTCAAAATGTCCGAACAAGACGGTGCGTCTACAACGAGAAAAAAAATTGTTAATAAAAATAAATGGGAAAAAAACAATAAGGAAATATTGCAGAAACAAGGGCTTATCGTATGTTAAAAAAAAATAAAGAAGTGAGTGAAAAAAGTGAGCCAAGTGAGGTATGTGTGACAATTTTTTTAAACCATTGTTAAAAAACGTAAACATAGAATTTTACCTTTAAATATATTTATATTAATTTACCATTGTTATTATACACTTATATTACTAAACGGTGATGAAAACAGTAAACAACATTTTATGCAAATTGTAAATTAATCATTTACTTTGTTGTAGGTTTCTTGCGAATGCCAGTTTACGTGTACCTGTTTGACATTGGAATGCCGTAAAAAATTATTTCACGACTTCTGGAATCTGGGAGATTATAACGAACAGCAGATTTACCTAAAAAACCTTATACGGCTTTGTTTAATAAACAGAAGGAGACATGGCAATTATGAAGATGCAACCGAAAGCAGGCGACAACGTACATTTAAATCATCATTATCATCATCATTACAGCCCTTCACAAGTCCACTGCTGAACATAGGCCTCCCCCAAGTAATGCCACAAAGCACGGTCCTGAGCCACCTGCATCCATCGACTTCCTGCATGTCTTACCAGGTCGTCACTCCATCTAGTGGGGGGTCGCCCTACCCTACGCCTACCGGTACGAGGCTGCCACTCGAGAACCTTTCTTCCCCATCGGTTATCGGTTCTTCGAGCTATATGGCCGGCCCATTGCCACTTCAGCTTACTAATCCGTTGGGCTATGTCGGTAACTCTGGTTTTACTGCGGATATCCTCATTTCTGAGTCTATCACGCAGAGAAACTCCAAGCATAGCCCTCTCCATAGCTCGCTGAGCGACCTTAAGCGTCCTCATACGGCCAGCAGTGAAGGACCACGTCTCAGATCCGTAAGTCATCACTGGCAACACGCACTGGTTGTACAATCTAGTTTTTAGAGATTGAGGTATACCTGACGAAAAGATATGTCGTAATTTCCCCGAACGCTGCCCAGCCGAGTTGAATCCGTCGATTGACCCGGTCGAAGTTGGACTTACCTAGTCGGACTATTTGTCCCAGGTAAACGTACTCGTCAACAACTTCGAGCATAGTGCTTCCAACAACTACCGGCATAGGTGTGACATGGACATTAAACATGATCTTTGTTTTGTCCATGTTCATCTTAAGACCTATCCGTTGGGAGGCACTATTGAGGTCATTGAGCATAATGCTTAAGTCCTCTAGCGATTCTGCCATAATGACTATATCGTCGGCAAATCGAAGGTGAGTGATGTACTCACCATTGATGTTAATACCGTATCCTTTCCAGTCCAGTAGCTTGAAAGCGTCTTCCAACGCAGCGGTGAAGAGTTTCGGGGATATAACATCACCCTGTCTTACACCTCTCTGCAGTTGGATAGGTTTCGAACTCTGGTTCTGTACTCGGATAGCCATCGTAGCCCTACTGTACAAACACTTCAGCACTTCGATGTACCGACAGTCAACTTGGCACCGCTGAAGGGACTGTAGCACCGCCCAAATGTCGACGGAATCAAAGGCTTTCTCATAGTCCACATATGCCAGGCAAAGTGGCAGATTGTACTCTTCGGTCTTCTGTACAATCTGCCGCAGGGTATGTATGTGGTCTATGGTACTGAAGCCTTTTCGGAAACCGGCTTGTTCGGGAGGCTGGAAGTCGTCGAGTCTGCGTGCGAGACGATTCGTAATGACTCTCGAAAATAGCATGTAGACGCGGCTCAGAAGGGAAATCGGTCTGTAGTTCTTCAAGAGAGCGTTGTCGCCTTTCTTAAAGAACAAAACCACCGCGCTTCTGCTCCACGCCTCCGGAGTAGTGCCACCATGGAGGACGGAATTGAAGAGCTTCCGAAGGACTTCAAGTACCGGTTTTCCACCCGCTTTCAGAAGCTCCGCTGTAATTCCATCCTCGCCCGGGGCCTTGCCGTTTTTAAGGTGGTGGAGAGCCATTCTAATCTCGCTCAGACTGACGTCCGGGATATCATCGGAATAGTGTCGGATAAGACTTGCTCTTGGATCGTTACTCACACTTGCGTGTGGCTCCAACGATGATGTGTACAGCTGCCCATAGAACCTCTCAATCTCACTCAAAATCTCAGGTGTCCCGGAAACGATGTTGCCACACTCAGTCTTCAGCTTTGACAGTTGGCTCTTTCTGGCAGACAGATCTCTGGCAAAGACTGTGGAGCCCTGGTTCCGCTCGATCGCTTCTTTAATACGAGAAGTATTAAAGTTGCGTAAGTCTCGCCGCATGCATTTGGAGATCTGTCTGTTCAGTTGCCTGTATGCTGTCAAATCTGTTGACGATTGCAGCCTCATCTCCCGTCTAACAGCCATGAGATTAAGAGTGTGATCGGAGAGTTTTTGTGTTCTTCTGCGGCGGGTCTTGCAGAACTTAGCTTCGACCGCATGGACAGTTTCCACGAGCTTGTCGTTCATATCGTCCACTGCATTGCAATCTTCTAGGCACTGGAAGCGGTTACGTAACTCGAGCTGAAAGGTTTCGGGATTCTGGATTAGAGCACGAGGGGGACGGAGCGTTGACTTCATTAGACGAGACCTCTCCAACTTAACGTTTAGGTTCAGTGTGCCTCTAACCATTCGGTGATCGCTGCCAGTTTTCACCCTTGCGATCACTGAGACATCACTGAACAGTTGGCGTCTGGTCGTCATAATGAAGTCAATCTCATTTTTTGTCGAACCGTCGGGGCTCGACCAGGTCCACTTCCTGTGGGGCCGCTTCTGGAAGAAAGAGTTCATCATAAAGAGTCCCTCTTTCTCCATAAAGTCGGCCAGCTGCTGGCCCCTTCGGTTCCGTTGCCCTACTCCAAATTTCCCTACCTTCAGCTCACCGCTTTCTCTTGTGCCTAGTTTTGCGTTGAAGTCTCCCATCAACACCGTGTAGTGGGTTTTGGAGGAATGTATGGCTCTGGAAATATCCTCATACATTTCCTCCACCTCCTCATCGGGATGTGCCGAGGTTGGTGCGTAAACCTGAATGACCTTCAGCGAATACCGTTTGGTGATTCTGAGTATCAGGTACGCGACCCTCGTCGACACACTCCCAATCTTTACAACGTTGTTGACGAGAGACTTGTGGACGATAAATCCAACACCTCCTTGGGACAGATGGTCGCCCTCCCGGTGATAGAACAAGTTGCCGGACTAGAGGATTGCCGTGTCCTCCCCCTCTCTTCGGACCTCGGATAATCCAATAATATGCCAGCGCAACTTGTCTACCTCTTCTTCCAGCTCTAGTATCTTCTCGTCAGTCCTCAGGGTGCGTGCGTTATATGTTGCCAGGTCGAGTCGTCGTAGGTGGCAACCGAACCTCCACCGGAGATTCTTAGCACCCCCTGCCCCGCCGTTACCATGGTCGCCACCGTAGCCAGGAATAGCGGGGCCGCCGGGGACTGGGGGCCGTCTGTTTGTGTATTTATTCATTGGGGGGTATTTGCCATAGTTGCTACGCTTGGCGAGCGGGTTGGCAACCGCAGTTTTTTTATTACGTCACAGTTGTTATCAGGAAGATGCTGCTGCCCATCTCCTGCCTGTCTCCCTCTGTCGCCTTTTACGACACCCACGGGAAGATATGGGGTAGTGGATATTCTCAACCGCCACTACACGGCCAATTATTACATTTAAATACTATCTCATAATTAGAGGCATGTCGGAAGTTCAGGTAAGAATTACTATTCGTTATTTGAATTATATTCTTAGTTAGTACAATAATTAATGTTTTCAAAAGAATTCTATTCTACAAATAGTTTATAAGTTCCTTTTAATTTCAGGTGTGTAAAAAGACGTTTTGCGATACTTTTGGTATTAGTCAACGCCGTGTGCGAAATTTTTTTTAGTAATGACGTATCTGTAAAAGATAGACGGAAAAAGGCAAAGACGCGAGCCTCAGTGGAAAGAAAAGATTATGGAGTACATAACGTCAATACCGGCTCAAGAAAGTCATTATAGTCGAAATGACGCTCCTAATAGAAAATATCTCCCAACAGAACTTAGTGTGGTCAAACTATATAAAGGGATTTTTAGAAAAGCACCGTGATGAATCTACTAAGCCACCAGTATCTAGGCAATGGTTTAATGAAATATTTTTGACCGAGTTTAATCTGAGTTAGTGTATGGTCGTTTGACCGCAGTGGATCTATCAATACTACATTTGTGTTACTTCAACGCATCAAAGGCCATGGATGTAAGTGTTTATTCTATTGACAAACTTACTTTTCTTTCTGTTATTTTCTTACGTGTGTATGATTTAGTGTTAACAAATTATATTTAAATATTGTGTGTGTGTATAGGATTAAGCCGTAGTAGCTCAGATGGTTAGCGCAAGCTGTAAATTTCACAGTACGCAACCCGGGTTCGATCCCCGCCGGCACCATTCAAATCGATTCAGAATCAAAATACGGATGCGTTGTCCCATGTGGATAATCATAATTAAAAAGGGTCTCCGGTTTTCGCCACACGTACACGTTTATTTGGTCAAACCTTTGATAATCATATGGCCAAACCATTGATTTATATATTACACTGGATCAGTGGCTAAGCTAGGGCTCCAAACTAGGGAAAGCCCAAGATATGCTTTTGTTGTTTTTAGCAGTTTAAAAAAAAATACACTAATCTTGAGCTGTCTCCACTCTTTAGTTTCATATTCAGTGCTGTCAAGGACGTGTTTAACAAAGCACACAGAAAGCATACTACCGCTAGATAGATTGTATGACATATGCAATTGCACACCTTCGGTGGTTTTGAAAAGAGCCGTTTGGGTTTGCTTGACATATTTACAAACAATACAATACATGAACAAAAGAAAAGCATGAACAAAGTATAAACAAACTATGTACAAATTTAAAAAAGAGACGCCTGGCAGATGTGAAACCTCGAAATTATTTTGTTTAAGTTATATGCATAAAAGAACAGATTACGACAGGAATTAGATTTTTATAATGTGAAGATAAAGCTTTGCTAATTTTTAAACATAAAATAATGACTATTTATTATATAATTATTCATTTTCAATTTATAATATAATTTTTTACTTTTTTAATTTATAATAAACCGTACAAAACGATATTTAATTCATAATAAACCGTACAAAATGATATTTTTAAACTCTTAAGGTAATATAAATATTAAATTAGCCGATAGCGTATTTGTGCTATCTAGCGTAATCTGTAGGTACCATCGTGAGAATCAACCAATTTTCGTTCGATAAATGACTTTACCTATACAATTAAGTAGATGGCGCTATTAAAATTTTATATACTGGAAATAACTAAAGGGAGTATTCTTTAAAAACCTTTTCTGTATTCTTCTTATGTAAACATTCTTCTGTATTCTTTTGATTTATTACATTAAAATTTGGGCTTCACGTTAAAAAAAATTGTAACACTTATTTCCTATAAAATTAAAACTAGGTGTCTCATATTTTATGCTGCCGTTAAAAATGATATTTTTAATTCAAATGGTAATATAAATATTGAGTTATTAAACCTTTAAATACGCCTAACTTAATTAAACTTTAATACTAAAGAGTCCTGTACCTATATTTAAAGTATGGAGAAATGTTTATTGAATATTAAATTTCATTTTTAATTTTAAATTTCAGATTTTACCTTTTCGTCGCCGATTAGCACTTCAACACACTTATATTCATCACAATGAACACTATTATCCTCCCATTTTCACTGAAAATATTTGAAAAGGTATAAATTTTTAACAAACACAACAAAACAAACATAAACATTGAAATGTGAAGTGAACTTGCATACGAATGGCCCTCACCCCATTCGCTAGTCGCTAACGCACTCCTAAACAACTTCAGGGCAAAGCCAGGCTTTTGGCACAATAGTAATTGCTATATAAACATTTCGTAGTTATATTTCATTAGATAACATTTTGCCACAGGTTAGAAAGGGATCGTCTTCTCTAAAGCCCGGTAAAAAGCCCACGCGTGCGAGGGAGACAACGAATCGCTCAATTCAACTCTCCTTATATGTTTGACAGCAGTACTCGTAAGGCTACGAGGTCGAATAGAGCGCGCGGGAAATTTGAAATAGTTTAAAACAGTTTACGAGTTATTTTATTACTTGACATTATTGATTGATTCAGCTTGATAAGGCAAGCCGGGCTTCTGGGCTTCTATAGAGGCTTCGCCACTGCACTGGATTAGTAATTACTGCGCCAAAGCGTTGCTACTGCACATATGGCCACAGCCATCTTAAAGTTTATGATATGGAGTGTAGAAGTAAGGGGTATAGACTTTGTATTAAAAAGTGTCCATAGAAAACCGTTAAATAAGGGTGACGCCACTATAGCTACGGGGTAAATTTTAAAGAACGCGCCGAAAAATATTAGCGGGATAGACGACTTTTTAGTAGGTTATATCTACTAAATAAAACTATTTTAGATTTTAGAGCTACTGAGCAGTCTAGCAGCACACTTAAACCGTCGGCAACTGCTAAGTTCATTTCATGTAGCTATTTCTTTTTTCAACTTTTTCGAGGTTATATCTACTAAATAAAATTATTTTAGATTTTAGAGCTACTGAGCAGTCTAGCAGCACACTTAAACCGTCGGCAACTGCTAAGTTCATTTCATCTCAGTAGCTACTCCAGCGCTGTTGTGGAGAGTTTTTGTACTTTTATTTACTGCTTACAGATAGACACTTTTTCGACCATTCTCCTATGAGAGATTGTTTTTCTTACCTCTACACTCCATATCTAATGTCAGTTCAGTATTCAATGTGATGGCGACAGAACTGAGCCAAACGATCTGCGATAAAAAATGGGTAAATGCATAGTAAATAATGTGATTCAAAGTCACAAAAACATAATAAATCAAGCGAAATCACTTTTCACATATAATTTTTAGTTCATGTTTTCATACAAACGTAAAAACCTCAAATAATAAAATAAAATTAACGAATATTGCGATTTACTTTTCCGCCTTTGTGGTTATCCCACATTAATGGGAGACTATATAATTAATGGAGTAAGTTAATTTGTTATTTGTTTAAACATTTTGGAAATTATAATAAAAACTACGTTTAAACTTCCATATAGAATAATTCATTATTCTTATTTTAGTTTATTCATGAATGATCAATTAAATATATTTTATTTCCTATTTTAAATTAATAATTTTGTATTAATTATAATTTTATATTAATTATATTTTATTACCTATTTTATTTTGTTTGATTTGTTAGTACAATAAAAATACTTATAAAAATATGTTTTATTTCATCAATTATGCTAACTTCTATTCATCTGATAAGAAAATATACTTTTTTTTAAATAAAAAAAATTAACTGGCAGCTTAAAAAACTCCTTCTTATTGCGTATTTTGAGTAAAATTTCATATAGTAAGCCACACCAACCCGCCATTGCATGTTTGTGTGTCGTCTTTATCTAATCTTAGTGACGGTATTGTTTTCTCAACTTGTGTAAGTGAGACAGATATATGTTTATTTAAAACGTTTAGTAATTTCAAAGCTACGTCGTCGCGGTTCTGTAGTGGTTACACTTTGTTCGACGCGCGGTAATGTTGTTTGCTACTTTAGTTTTGTTTATCTTAATGGTTAACGCAGTATATTCTGACGAAAACGAATATCTTATTCAAACGGTTTTATTCTCAGGAAAAATAGTGTAAAATATGAGATAAATTTCATCACAAAACGAACTTCCAATCATAAAAACAACGAAGATAATAAGAAAAGAAATAAATAATGTTACAATTGAAAAAATAATTATTTATTTTTGTTGAATTCAAAGGAATTTTATTATGCTTTGAGAACTTTCGATCGGTTGGCCAAAAATTCACTTCTTTTTTCACCGAAATTATTAAACTACATTATGAAGTTGCGCGTTAAAACAATACATTGGCAAATTATTACGTTGCACAAGTACGTACATAGGCAAGGCCGTAGCCAGGGGGGGGGAACAAGGGGGATTGACACCCCCCCCCAAATAAAAAACTAATTCTCTACCTACTGTTATATTTATTATGTGTGACTTTATGCTCGCTTGGTATTCGCACGACGATACTTACACAGTATAATAAATACATAATACTACGTAGTACTATTATTTATTCTGTGATAATACTTAAATAGCGGCGCAGAGACATCTATTAGGGAGCGTTGAAACTAAACAACAAGCAACGCAACTTCGGGGACGTGCTCGAACTGCATTTTGGGAGAATTCAGTAAGCATAGAATCTGCGTCTGTGGAATAATTATATTAGCGAGCCGTTGAGCACGGAGAGGCAGTTCTGTCTTGGAAGGTCTTGGAAAGTGATCCAATTTTCAGGTATACCAAAAGTACTCTGTGGATCCAATGTGACTAAAGCGATATAAGCGCAGTAATAGTGCAGTAGGTGAAATAATAGTTTTGTGAATTAGTATGATGAAGTAAGTGGTATTATAATTTTTGTAATTAAAATTAAAAGTATTTGATGCCTATAAGTAGACTACCTACTCGTATTCATTTTCTTTTAAATCTTTATGGAAGAGCCGTGGTAGCTCAGATGGTTAACGCTCGCTGTAAATATAACAGAACGCGAGTAACCCGGGTTCGATCTCCGCCGGCATCAATGAAATTGTTAAATGCAATTTTAAGTGCTGATTTACCACGTGCTCGGCGGGGAAGGAAAACATCGTGAGGAAACCGGCATGTCTGAGGAATAAGAAAAAAAAATATTTCGAAGACACGTGAAGTTCGCCAACACGCATTGGGGCGGCGTGGCGAACACTTCCTTGCCCTAAAACCCTCTCAGAAATGAGGGGAGGCCTGTGCCCAGCAGTGGGTCATATATAGGCTGTAACTTTACTTTACTTTATGGAAGTGAATACTTGTGTACATATGGAATTAATACTTGGCTGTTTTTTTAGTTGTTACTGGTCGATTCAACATTTGAAATGGCAAAAAAACGCGAGAAAATACATTATTCAAATATTTATTTAAAAAATCTAAATCTGGTACTGGTAGTGAAGGTTCTACTGAAAATCAGTGTTCAAGTTTTTTCGGCAGTAATACTGTACTAACTGTGTAAGTAGTTCTGGTACTTCTGCTGCCGTTCCTGGGACTGTGGATGATGTTTCTCAGCATGGTTTAGATGTGTGCTATTATACGGGATCAAACATCAAAATTGATGATGATTTAAAGTACAAACTGTTGAAATCTTCCTTGGATGCTAGAAAATACATTTAAGTTTCCAGTAACTGACGATAAATGAATGCTAAAATTTCAAATGCAATGGTTTGAACGGTTCTCGTGGTTTTTTTACACTAGTACAGGGCAACAAGCTGCAAAGCTGACAATATGATGGAGCGTCTTCGATGAAAGGAAGTTTTAAAGGTGTGCAAGCAGTAATTCGTGAGTCACATCCAGAAGCCTTATACGTTCATTGCAGCTCACGTTCATTGAATTTACCTCTGGGTCATTCTTGCCAGGTTCAGGCTATTCGAAATACAATTGGAATTATGAAATCGTTTGAAAATTTTATCAAGTCATCGGCAAAACGAACCAAGTGTTTAAAAGATAATATCGAAAAAAAATTCCCTGAAACACAATGGAAAAACTTACGGTAATGTGCGAGATCCGCTGGGTAGATAATCATGATGTGTTGTTAAGATTTAAAGAAATGTATAAAGCTATTGTTGATACACTAGACGACTTAAGCACTGACATGGATTCTGAAACATCGTCGATGGCCAATTATTTTCTGAGATCAGTCATTTCAAGTGATTTTGTTTTAAGCTTATGTTACTTAGGAATGTTGTTCCCGTACACACTGACACTATGCAAAATTCTTCAATCTCCCGCGATTTGGCAACAGCTTTACAACATGTCGATTTAATTATAAAGACTATTGAAGATGTTCGCCAATGTTGATTCAGTTGAACTTTTCAAGAATGCACAGAATTTGCGCAGTACTGTAAACGAGGAAATGAAAATTCTGCGAATAACGTCACGCCAAGAGCATAGAGCAAACTACAACACAAAAGATCTTGAAACTTATTTTATAATTACTATAATGATACCACTTTTGGGTGATTTCATTGATCAGCTTCAGTCGAGATTCCAAAATCATAAAGCCACATTATCATCTCACAACATTTTTATTCCGTGTGTGTGTTGCAAACAACAAATTAATCAAAATTATCAAGAAAACTACTTCGAGGTCTATAAAAATATTATGAATGGGACTTTTTAAAAGCTGAATTCTAGTTCAGAATCTGAACTAGATCGACCAACCAACCAAACCAAAAATAGAATGCAACCAGGTCTTATTTCCAAACATTCACAAACTTTTAAAGATCTTGGCGACACTGCTCTTTTCTACATGTACTCCTGAGAGAAATTCCACAGGCCAGGAAAGACTAAATGGTTTGGCGTAAATGTCAATCCACCGCAGAATTGGCACCGACACCGAGGAGGTAATTGATTTGTTCGCTGCAAAGAAAGCTAGAAGACTAAATTTATATTTTGCAATAAGGTGTAATATTTATGTAATAGTTTTCTAATAAATATACGTATGATAACACAATTTCATTTCTTTTATTAAAAGGATTTTATGTTTTTCTACAGTTCCAACAAATCAAATCGCCCCTACCCCGAAATTATTTTCTAGCTACGGCCTTGTACACAGGGTATGTAGACATCAGTTATTTTCAAAACGCTTCAAATGCAAGGCGACCCTATGTTTGTATATTGCACTATCCACAGATACGCCAACAGTTCCTCTATCTAAACCCTTGCTGTTGGTATAAGACCTGTAAAAAATCGCGTGAAATATCGATTCCTGCTGAGACCCTGTCGCGAATTTTCAAACAAATGTACGATACACGTACATGCCCTCAACCATCAATTACCTTGAAGCATAAAAGTGGATCGATGTGAAATTTGGTCAGCATCTTACATCAAATATGGCACAAGAAGCCACAAAAATTCAATTGTGATTTGTGAATGTAGTTGTGCTTCTTTTGATAGTTACGCACCAAAATTTCAGCCATTTTAAAGATGCGTAGTTGTTATTTGACAGTCGTTTAAGTGACGCGATGTAGGTAAGTGTTATTGTGAAAATGGAAAAAATTGAATATCGAGCTGTCATTAAATTTTTGTTTTTGAAAGGCAAAACGATTACGAAAATCAAAGTTGAGTTGGACTTGGCGACTTTGCACTTTGATTAGCGTTCCCAGAACTATGACAAATATCAAACCCCGATTATACAAATCAAGTAAAGAAATCTGCAGCGGTAGAAAGTTTGGCCGGACAGTTTAATACTTCTGCATTGGAAATAAATAGAAAATTGCACAATTTACCAACGCAGTTCAATAACGAATTGAGAAAACTTGAAAGAGTGAAATTTTTATTGTATTGTTTTTCTCCTCTGTTCACACACTCTTCCCTTGTATAGATAAAAATTATGATTATTGATATCTACTACAAATATTCTCATTCATAGTTAATAAATAATTTTGACGGGTGCAAGTGATTTCTTTTTAACACATATGATATGTCGGTTTGAATGATCACGTTAATGAAAGCAACACACAATGCAACCGAGCGTAGTGCGATTTTTTCTCAACTCTCCACTGTAATGCAAATATAACTTTTACTTGTCACGTGGAAATGTTTTCAATTACAACTACTGTTTCAAAAGGACAAATATATCTTACGAGGGCACAGGATACCTCATCACTTTTCTGACAACATATTTGTTCACGCACGATTGTTACACTTCCATCGTGCGTCTCGAACGGGGTGAGGAAATGGTTAGCGTTGCGTGGGAGGCGGTGGCAAGCGGCCCCAGTCTGCAAGAATCATTGAGCGCTGCGGCCGTGCCGGTGTTACTTAAGAATTGCAGCGGCCTTCTTGTGTTATCTTATATTTGTACGTATCCGTGATAACGAGGCTTATTCTTGAGTTTATTTACGCGACGCCTGGGTCGATTATACGTCGAGAGCCTCTTACAGTGTTATCTTAATTTGTTGTTCGTGATAACGAGGCCATATTATATAATTATTGTTGTAACAGTTTGAGTATTGTGGCGACCGTTAGACGGTTGGGCGTGGCCGGTGTTGACTTGAAGGCCTAAAGCTTGTGTTAATTGTGCGCGCCATTTTGAATTACTATTGAACATTTGGGTCTAATTAGACCGCCTCGAATTTAGTTGTCCGTTTTAAAAGTGTTACGTGACAAGAGGCCTACTTGGAGTTTGAAGTGATTAAAGGAACTTTTATGCAGTTAATTGCATCGACGAGTTATTAGTGCGTCGTTTGATACCGTGATAAGACTTTTACTTTGTCCCTGAGAACGTTGAACCTTGTGATCCCGGAGTAGATCGCGCGCGATTATAGTTCGTGCTAAGTGACACTGGACTTGAGTTCTGATAGCGGTGAGCGTCTTGTGGAGCGGTCGGCGCACGTGGTGCTGTTATCTGATCGTATTGGTGACGTCAGGTTACACTATACACTTTCTTACACTACACACCTACTACCATTTACTTGAACCTGACGCCACCTTGTGGTAGACCCTACACTTCTGGAATTCGGTAATTTTTGTGTTTGCGTAACGAACCGTTATAATTTAATTACCCATAGGTCATTGGATCCTCCCCTCTGTTACTCGTCGAATTGGGCTACTATGGGCCCTAGCTCAATCGACCTTTGTCGGGGTAACTCGGGGCCGTAACAATATTTGTAAAATATTATATCAGGTTAATAATTTCAAATTTTTTCACATCAGCAATAGTATTAATTATATTAACTATAGGGGCTTTGAGATATTATTATCGACATCAACTATCCGCTGGGTGAAGTTTTCGTAGAAATTTCCCGAAACGAATCAGGTTAAGCTCTATGGTCAAACACTTTTGCCTGCCCATATTACCGAATCGTAATAACTACAATTACCATGACACCTGTCAGCCTATTACTACTTACAAGTTGATGTCAAAAATGTCTATCAATTACATTCTAATTCTGTCGACACTTGTTTTGTTTCTACTTCACTTCTATTCAAGTATTTAAATAATATTATGGAAGTGTTAGCTTATAAACGAACAAGCAAATAAAATATTGTTGCTTTTAACCTATAAGTACTATTCAAGAAATAATAAAACTTAATAGCAAAATGGTGGTGACAACACTTACAATTCAGGATGTTTTATCTCTCGGATATTATAAATCAAGCAACAAAAAAGTGGATAGAGATGCTATTTTACCGTTTATTATATTACCACTTTTATTATTAGTAGCTACTTTGTCCTTAACAATCACAATTATAATTATGATTTTTATTGGAATGGGTGCGTTATATGTTCACTCAAGACCTCGTCAGAAAAACAGGTTATTCCATCTTATTATGAGTGTTATGTTATTATGATTATAAGTCTTACGTTCGTGCGGTTAAAGAATGGGATAGTAAATTGCGTCCCCTCGCTCGAATACTGTCGCTATCTGCACTCACATCGGGCGATAAGCCGCTGGACAGCAAAAAAACTATGTTACGATATGCCTTTTTCATACGTTCTAAAATTTCAGTCTAACTTGTCATTGAAATCAAAGATAACAAAATACCATGAACTGCGAAAAAAATTAGTCCGGTTTTGCTAATTTGTGAGCTATGATGCATTTTAAGTTTTCTTTTTAATTATTGTTGATTTGTTTGTTAATATTTTTTGTAAAATATATGCATGTTCTTGAGACAAGTATTTTTGCCTGTCTGCCCCAGCTAATCTTCTGCTGATTGAACTGATTGCAATAAAACTTTACGAACAAATAGAGAGTAATACAAAAAGTGTTCTGAGCTAAATTTTATAAAAATAGAAATATTGATAACATAAAATAAATGTTTTTTATGATTATCTTAAGTCTAAATAATGCCACATTAATAGATACCTCCCAGGCGAAGCCAGAGTGGGTCACTAGTTATAAATGTTATTTTAAAAATGTACCTACTTGTGTATACAATTCTTCAGATATTTCCCATCAATAAAAAAATTCCAACTAAGCAAATAATATAACATTATAATTATCATAATATAGAAAATCCCCTAATAACTAGATATAGTTTTCGCTATTGGTACTGAGTCATGCTGATGGTACAAACTCGATGAGTCGCCATTCCTAATCCCATTCTTTATCCTTATTGACTGTATATTCAAAATTTGTATGTCTGGATTATGTCATTTCAGTTTCACTTTCAGCTGGTAGGATGTTGTATATATTAGGATTTGATATTATTTTCTCTAGCCATGATTAGGCATGTGTCCACTATAGTAAAGGTAACTGAAAAGTGAAAACTGAGGCCTTGCACTTATATCATTTCTTATAGAATGTATTGAACTTTAAAGTTCAGTGACCGTTACCGATAATTATGGCATTCCTTTATGACATGCTTGTTTTCCAAGGATATGAAAGAGACGTAGCAAATATTGGCTAGTGCAATAACCAATCACTGTAGACTGTCCTATCATCTTGCAAATTTTGAGAAACACCTCTTTCAGAAACCACAAAAGAAGTTTTTATATGAACTCCATAATTTCATTTAATTCAGTATTAAAATGTATTCTTTAGATTTGAGTATAAAAACTAAAGCAAAATTAATTAATGTGTTGATAATGCACAACTTTAACGGTAAGTGGAGAGCTTCTCTGTCATCTTGACACTAAAGTCATGCTACATACTCATTAAATTTGTCTTTTTTGTAACGAAAACAGATGCTACATCAGTTATGAATTCTGGTTCAAAATATTTGTATGAACTCAATATTGGTATATCAATAATTTAAGTTACATTTTATTACAGGTCACCATTTTTTTTCTCCTGGACTTTGTCTTCAGGAGTTTGGATGTTTATTATATATGAGATTGCAGTGCTAAGGTTGCTAGAAATAACTCAATTGGAGAATTTTGCTTTCCTCTTACTATTAACATGCACATGTTATTCCTTTTATAAAATGAAAGCAATTGCTGATTTTGAACTGGCTATAGGTTCATCTAAGGGAAAAGAATATAGGTATTATTTTAAATACAAAACAGTCTAACCATTTTTGAATCATTTTCAAATCAATCTTATGAGTAATATTATTTTTTACAGCCCAGTGTTAACATCTGATTCACAATACTGTCAGATATGTCAAATTGAAGTAAATGATAGATTTTTCCACTCTATATGGTGAGTTATATTAGTTATAATAATTTTTTTAAATAACAAAGTTTATCCTAACCTTTTATTCATACAGGTGGGACTGTTGTGTGCTAAGGCAAAATTATTTATATTTCTTAACGGGACTAGTTTTTGCTACTGCGACAATCTTGTTTGCAAACAATCTGGCTCTTACAACAGTTTGCCAACCATTCTTACTTTATGGTGTTATTTTGTTGCCTGAAAATTGCAAAGATGTCTACTTTGAATTCCAGTAAGTCCCCTAATTTAATGATAAATATTGTTTTATGATTTGCTTCCTTGTTAATATTCCAGGTGTAGTAAAAATATATAAATATTATCATTATTTCACTTATTGGTTGATATTGAAGTTTATTTTTTCATTGTAATGATCTTGTAATCTACCATCTGCATTTGCAGTTGCTTATGAAGGTCTAGACATCGATGCTTATCACCAGTCTGCCGTTTGTTATTAGCTTCACTTATTCTGTTTAATTTAACAATCTTTAAGGGCTGCCAGGCTAGGAACTTTTTATTATGTAAACTTATGTGGCTTGGTGGACTTTGGCCAGTTTTAGCAGTTCTAAAGATGTGGATTTTTAGATGATATATACACTAATGTTCAGTTACAGTAATACAAAAAACTTGTTAATCTTAAAAATTGTACAAGCACAGATAGCACAAAGGTAATATTTTACATTGTCAGCATGTTGCTAACTTCACTATGATTGCAATATGAAGGTCTGCTGAATGATGCTTTAAGAACCATACAATGCAATAAGTAACACATTCCAGCCACTATTAACTTTTGGCAAAATAGCTTTGTGTTTTAAACTGTTACAAAATTATTTATAATCACTCTGTTATCCTACGCATATTAAAATTTCCATTTGTATTAAGAAAAAAATGGTTAATAATTTGTGGCAGAATAGCATTACCTACTTTTTATCACAGGTGGTGGGATATTCCCTTTTACTTTACAACCACTGTTGGCAGACATGACACTCTTTATTATTTGCATAAATTCAATGTTTTGTTTTAACTATCACATATTTTTATCAAATTAGTTACTTACATGACAAACACACTGTCTTTTTATATTTAAATAACATATGGTGTACCTAGAATGGCTAAAGTTCTTTTACACATTAACATGTTTATCTTGTAAATAAGTTATGCTTAATAGAAATTAAACTTATATTTAATACTTTTAAACAAGCAATTCTTGTATATATCGACGGGTGCAAAGTAAAAAGGGTCATCTACAAAACAGCTACTTTTCAGGAGAGCGTATAATAGGAAAAAATGCTCCCATTTTGTCAATTTTAAACCAAATTTATTGAAATTTTCATCATTGCTTCATTATTTAATAATGTATCCACATGTATATTTCATTTCTTCTAATTATGTTTAATTTACGAGATATTGTAGTTGTCTGCATCTACATTGCGCTTAAAAATATGACAACTGTATTAACTACTACTTGGCCGTTTCTACGTGGGAATTCAAAGATTTAGTAAAATACTTTACTAAGTCTGGTGGAGCCACGTGTTTAAGGCTGCCGAAGTCTAGTTCCCCGGTCGAACCTTAAACCTATTGCGCGAATTATTAATCTAAGTGGACTGTATCTAATGCTGCTTCTACACTTGTATATGCGGTACAATGCACTCGCTCTTCCCAAAAAAACGAACTATTATGCTAAATCGATGAAAGGAATCCTGCTTGATTAGGAAAACACAAAATTGGAGCGGGTTAAAACTACTATATCAAGCAGGAAAATACTATTAGGAAAATGTTGACTCACCGGGATGTTTCTTCTGTGCGGTCGAGCACTATAACTGCGACTTCTGGAACACTCCGGAGAGAGGCGGTGCGCGACTATATCTCACACGAGGTGAGGCGGGCTTCCTGGAGCTCGACTGCTTCCAGGCTGAAGCGGTTTCTACTAATGATGTGTTTCCAACAACGAGCGCGGCGGGAAGAGCTCTTTAGGACACTATTATCCTAGGCGGTGTAGTTCTAACGGCGGCGCGGCGGGAAGAGGCCACGCGTCGGTCGCGCGTGTCTTATATATCCTCGGTTCCGATGATTACGTGATGTTCTAGAATCATCTTCTTTCCCCTCCCACCCCACCACCCCGATGTGTCGATAGGAGGGTACGAATGATATCGTTTTGGAAAGGGATAACCGATTTGGCAGCCTACCGTCAAATAAAATAAATACGAATGGTTTTCCGCGCAACCATCTCCCCCGCCCTTGAAGGATCTTCTTCAAAATAACTAAAACAACTAGAGCTAAGATCAACTAACAAATAACTAACTAACGCTAAGATTACCTAAATTCAACTACAATTTCTAATCTAGAAAGCTAATTTAAATTATGGAAGAGGCAAGGGGCACAAACGGACAACAGGACGCAGGTAAGACCCAACCGTGGTCTTAACGCGAGCTATCCTAATTACTCCGTCGGAACCGGGAAAGACCTCTTCGACAGTTCCTAACGGCCAATGGAGAGGTGGCGTATTCTCCTTAGTGAGCACAACTACAGTCCCTACAGCTAAAGGCTCAGTCGCTGTGTTCCATTTTTGCCGAGACTGCAAAGTATGCAAGTATTCCATCCTCCATCGTTTCCAAAACGATTGCACTAACCGGTCTAATAATTTGTGGCGTGCGGAAATGCTAAGTCTGTTCTCATCCATATCTGCGGCGGGCAAATACTTTAAAGGCGTTAAATTCAAAAAATGTGCTGGAGTTAGAGCCAGCGGTTCCGAGGGGTCACTAGACAACGTCCGACAAAGTGGGCGGCTATTCATTACGCATTCAATTTGAGCGAGCACCGTACTTAGCTCTTCGAAGGACAAAATTTGATCTCCTATTACTCGGTATAAGTGACTCTTTAGACTCTTAATATTGGTCTCCCAATTGCCTCCAAAATGACTCGCGGCTGGGACGTTCAGAGACCACTCAATGCGGTTCTCGGCTAGAATGTGAGCGAACTCCGAATTATAATACTTGCTAGCTAAGAGCTCATGTAGTTCCGATAGAATACGTTTTGCACCGACGTAGTTCGTACCGTTATCCGAATATAATTTACTTACAGGGCCTCTACGGGATAGAAATCTTTTAAATGCACCCATAAAGCCTGCTGTGCTTAGATCACCAACGAGTTCTATATGCACCGCTCGAGTAGTTAGACATACGAAAATGCAGACGTAAGCCTTTGTGGATCTTATACCACGCTCGCGAGTGAGCGTGACCTTAAACGGACCAGCGAAATCTGACCCGGTGTGCGTGAAGGGCTTTACCGATTGTATTACTCTACAAGATCTAAGTTTCGCCATTTCCGGAAATGACGGCTTGGGGCGTGCCCGAAAGCAAGCTATACATCTGTGCACCCGATTGCGTATTAAACTACGTGCAGAAAGAATCCAATAATTTTGACGCAAAATCGACATCAACAAGTCGGGGCCAGCGTGCATGATCTGGTCTTTACGCGGTAAAACTATAGGGTGCCGTTGGTCGAAACTCAACTGCGAGTTGGACAAGCGTCCACCTACCCTTACAATCCCATCCTGTAAAAATGGCTTAAGGCGTTGAAAGGCGCGACTACAAGCTCTATTCGATTGTAATCTTGTAATTTCTTCAGAGAAATGCGCACGTTGAAGTTCACGTAATACTAGCGACTCGGCATAGTTGTAATCGGACGCTAAGACATACGAACGTCGCGGTAAAAGCTTCGCGAATCGACAAACGTAAATTACGCTACGCAATAATTTCGACCAAGAGGACAAGCGGTTCGCCAAAGCAATGATTTTCTCTTTACGCGGTAAAACTATAGGATGCCGTTGGTCGAAACTCAACTGCGAGTTGGACAAGCGTCCACCTACCCTTACAATCCCATCCTGTAAAAATGGCTTAAGGCGTTGAAATGCGCGACTACAAGCTCTATTCGATTGTAATCTTGTAATTTCTTCAGAGAAATGCGCACGTTGAAGTTCACGTAATACTAGCGACTCGGCATAGTTGTAATCGGACGCTAAGACATACGAACGTCGCGGTAAAAGCTTCGCGAATCGACAAACGTAAATTACGCTACGCAATAATTTCGACCAAGAGGACAAGCGGTTCGCCAAAGCAATGATTGGAGAAACCTCGCTCGAAAGGTTCGCCACTAGAGCGTGTCTCTTCTCTTCCGACGGTTGTGACACTGACGAAGGTTCGAAATCGGTTATCGGCCATTGTGAGGGATCCAAGTGAACCCAAGAAGGTCCATGGAACCAAAGCGGGTGGTCCATTATTTGCATCGGGGTGAGTCCCCGGGATAGACAATCGGCAGGGTTTTCCGTACCGGATACGTGATAAAAGTTCCGCGTTTCTAACTCGTCTTGGATCTTGGCCACTCGGATCGCGACAAACGTATCCCAACGGTGAGGTGAAGAATGAACCCAGCATAAGGCGACGGTGGAGTCGGAAAAGGCAAATATCCTTTCTATGTGAACTCTATCCCTACATGCGCTGATAACTGCGGTAATAAGCTTGGTGAGTACTAATATTGCGCAAAGCTCTAAGCGCGCCAGAGAGACAACCTTACGGGGGGAGACTCTCGACTTAGAACTAATGAGGCTAATCGAATTTCTACCATTATTCTGAACGTGGAAATATACAACGTCCCCGTAAGCCTTCTCGCTGGCGTCTGCAAACCCAACGACCGTTATGACGCTATTTCTATCGACGTTTATATGACGCCGTATTCTAATTTCTCTTAGTAAAGGAAGTTCCTCTCTAAAGCGCTGCCACAAACGAGCAATGCTGTCAGGTGGCGAATCATCCCAATCGCATTCAAATAACCAAAGTTGTTTAATCAAAAGCTTAGCGTATAATACTACTAGAGCTACGAAACCCATGACATCCCATAATCTAGCAACGCATGACAGTATTGTGCGCTTTGTGCATTTCTCTACGGGCGGATTTACCTTAAGGCTAAACACGTCGGACTCTGGTGACCAACACAGACCGAGCACCTTGTGTGTATCGGAATCGTCGAATTCCTTTATCGCCGAAAGACGGTGTGATAGTGGGATTGTATCTAAAACCGGACGCGAATTACTAGTCCACTTCACAAGATCGAATTGACCCGATTTCATGAGCCTTATAACCTCGGCGGTGGTTAGGGTGGCCTCCTCCACGCTATCGACCGAGTATACAAAATCATCCATATATAATCCGCTCTCAATTGCCCTCTTAGCTTTAGGAT